TATAAGATGATTCTTTAGGAACATCGAGATTAATTGTCCAAGAGTAATCTTGGGCCATGACTGATATAGAACAAGATCCCTTACAAATTTAGAAGGCAAAAGGAAAAAGGAGCCCTTCTTGGCAATTAATTAAAGCACACCCACCAACACAGTAACTCTGAAGAAAGCGTGGAATAACAGCCGATTCTCACTTCATCCCAAGTTTTTTTCCTTGCTGACGCTGAATTCATCTTGTGTTGATCAATAGCTACTGCTCAAGATAACGTATTGCTTTGCGCGCCATAGTTCAACTTTAAAATAGCCTGTGCTAACCTAACCTAACCCAGGAGGTCGACAACAGCATGCACCCAACTTAGCCATGAACTCTTTTTCTTTTTTTTTCGCTCTTTTCATCTTTGTTGTCAAGCATCGATAAAACTACTCTATCCAAGATGCACCCAACATCTTAGCCATGAAACTATACCGGTCTGCAGCTTCATCAATCTGTAAATACAAGAGCCATATATAAATACAATGGTCGGGACCATAAATGACAATATAAACTCAATCAGATACTTGCCATTTTCTGGGTTGGACGTCCGCCTCCATGCCCAGCCTTGCATTCAATGCGACCAATAATCGGATTGGTCTGTGGGCTTTTCTCCAAACTTGTGCTCAGAACATATTGCAAGGTCTAAGAATAAAGAGAATCAATTATACAATTGAAGAGAAAATAACACACACAACTGAAACAAACAAAAGCACAAAATCAATAAAAGAGAATAACACACAACTGAAACAGACAAATGCACAAATAAATAAAAGACTCGTAGATTCTATCGCAAAAGAGACTCACCGCCAATAACTTCAACGTGTGCAATGGTACGACTCGATCATCATGATCTGCAGTCAATAGCATGGTAGATGGGTACTGGTGAGGTTGGCTTGCATGCAGTTCCCATGGTCTCCTGACATTGTGTAAAGGCGAGTACCTGAAAGTAGAAGGCAGGGAGGGATAAGCTCGTATTCATATTTACAAGAACCACCAAGACATCTGAGCCTGTCACAGAAATCGGAACAAAACATGCTCACAAATTGCCTAGTAAGAAGAAGACTGATGAAGAGGCGCATCAAGCATAATGCATAAATATGTACTGCAATCCCTCTTATCCTAACAATCACACTCATTCCAACAAAGAATGAGAAATCTTGTTTATGGAGTTCTAAGCAAATGTGAATTGGAGTAATACTTTATCCCACCATCACTATCCATCACAGAACTGAGACTAAAACAAGGCAGTGAAATACTTCTACAGAATTTTAAAACATTGCCCTAACCAAAACAGGACTGCAATCAGATACACCTCAACTCCACCAAATGAAGAGAGAAAATGTAAACAAAACAGTACTCACTTAATTAACCATTGGAATTCTTCCTCCTTGTCAGAACAGCCATAATCAGAAGTCCATGCATGACCTGAGTAACTCTTCTACATCAAACATATGTTGCAACCAGAAGAAGAAAAAAAAAACCTTAGAAGACCCAAAGGAAGTAAATTCACCTATGGTAAACTTGTGGAACCGTAGCATGTCCATAACACCAACATGAGCTAGTGCACAACCAAAAAGATCGGGTCTCTGCGAGAAGGCATTTTTTTTCATATAAATCACTCACTACAG